GGTGACAAATGGGACATGACAACAACTTCCTGTGATTCTGCCTCCTGTGACTGACAGCCTTGCCCAGATTGTAACAACCCAGATGTCTCTATCTGTATAACAGAAAAAGTAAAAGTACCTGCCTCAAGGAGTTTCTGTCTTGATTCATGAAGCTATTGCCTGTCAAGTATGTATGACACATTCAAAGGTCTTTACAACTATTGTCATAGAACATGAGCCTCACACTCTCTGATGCGGTCCACACTGGTGCAGTCCATACTCCCTGACGTGGCTCACACTCCCTGATTTAGTCCACACTCTGATAGCCACACACTATAGAACACTTGCTTTGTGCTTTGCCAGTGATGAGCTCTATCAAATCCACAGCAACCTGGGGAGAGCTACCTGCTTTAATATTGGTGATGGAGGGAGGGGATGTGGAGAGTGGAATGGAAACAGCAAGCTCTGACAGGGATTTAGGACAGCAGAATCTGTCTGCTGGCATCTGTGAGCAGCACGACATTACTTCTGTAATGGTGAGACTGATAAGAGCAAGTAAATGGAAGTCTGAGAACTTGTCTCAGGATTGAAAGAGTCCAGTGTCTCAATGATGTATTGGGTACCTTGAACTGAAATGTAGGACTCAGTAACTTTGCTATTATTATTAAAATAATTTTTATTACTTTTATGAAGTTCAAGTGCTTTGGTCACCAAAAAATACCATACTGGCACTAAGATGTACTACCTTAAAGATTTCAGAACATGGCATATGTCACTGATGGTGAATGTTGACATTAACAGACATAAATGAATACAGTGCATTGGGGAATGCCCAAACTTACCCTGTCTTGCTATCACAAATGACCTACATTTCAGGGAACAGATTTTGCTACCCAACAGAAAGAGCACAAGTCTCTTGTCTAATATTCACGAGTTAATTGAGAAGGCAAATTTGGAGTCTCCATTGAGTAGGACAGAACCTTGTGTAATTAGGCAACTCAGAAAACCTCACGTGTGCACTAGACGGAGTCTATGATCTGGAGTTCACAGTTGCAGAAAGAACATTTAACACCCGGGAGATCCCCTCGAGCTCAGCAATTATCAGTTGAGGGGAGCTGCACCAATAATTCCTTAAATGCAAAATGATTTTCACTCCAGTTGGGACTCTGCTACATGTACCATGTCCTTGGTTATCCCCCCTGGAAGTCTCTGATCTTTACTGCTTAATAACTTTAGACACCAAGTCCGGAGTTCCTCTGAGGATCAAGTGTATCCCGTCTCTAATTTGCAAAGGGCAATCTAAATAACTACTTCTTCAAAACCCCCAGTCATACTTCTAAGTTTACTACCCTGGACTTCATTTGTGGTGGGTCAGGATTTTATGAGGGCTGGGAGACTGACCAAATCCTCAGAATTACTGCTTTTCCTTTCAGCCACCAATTAGGGGAATGTGCACAACTGTGATTTGCATGGAAATCTGGTATCTTCCTGGAGGGATGTTAGTCTGTATGACAGCTATTTTCAACTGTCAACTGGGAAAGAGTTTCATTGAGGGTTTGTCTAAATCAGCTTGGCCTAAAGGCATGTCTGTGAGGGATTGTCTTGATTACATTGTCATATAGGGAGACCCAGCTTGAAAGTGGGAGGCACCATTCCTGGGATCGGGTCCTGAACTGTATGGAGCACAGAAAGAGGCATGCAAGCTTTCATTTCTCTGTTCTTCGCTGTGGGTAAGATATGACCAGCTATTTTAAGTTAGATTGTAACTTGGAATTGCGAGCTAGTGTAAGTCCTTCCTCCCCTAGGTTGCTTTCTGTCAGGGTATTTATCACGGGGACATAAATTAAACTAAGGCATTTGGATATAAGAAAAACTTTATCAATGTTTGGATGAAAGTCCTATCTGTGAGACAGGAGTTTAGGGTCTAAAATCAGGTCAAAGGTGAAAATCAAGAGTAACCCAAGTTACTTCTGAAAATATTTCTATTACACAAAGTTATTGTGTACATAACCAACATTTAAGAATCAAGCATAAAATAGACAGTATTTCTGACTAAGGTGAACCCTGAGCTGTTCAGCCAGCAACACAAGCACAGCACACTATTTCTTTAGTAGGGCACCAGACGAAATGTGACCCTCCCTCC